TCCGCGCCCCTCGGCGCCCTTCCGCGGCTCAGCCTCCGCGGGGCCCCGGCAGCAGGGCTCGGCGAAGGGCACCGCGGCGAGGGAAGCGCTCCGCGGATTCCCACTAATTCTCTAACTCCTGCCTGCGTGTCCTCATGCTCACACGGCCTTTTTGTGTGTGTGTTTGTGGGCTTTGCTACTTTGTCATTTTTCTCGCAAGGGGTGTTTGAGCCCTCTTCCTTCGCCCCCAGAAGCACTGGCAGTCTGATACCGCCTCTTTCTAATGACAAGGTCAAGATCGTCGTGTCTCCATCAGCTCACCTGAGGGGTGCTCCTAGGTGCGGGGTGGGGAAAGGGCTGGCTCGTCCTCGTGTAGGGTTGCAAAGCTACTCAGGAAAATCTGGGGACGCTCAGGTATGGATCTGTTGTCTGAAACACATATTACGGCCCTCCCCTTTCTAACTCGGCATTTGAGAGATTAAAAGGAATCACTGGTTTCCAAATTAAAGTATAATTCACGTTCAAACATTTGCAAAAGCACATGAGAACATTTTAAAAATCACAAAGAGAAAAAGCAATCTTGTCTGGATTCTGCGTTTGCCCTGCTGTTAAATTCAAATCAATGTTGCTTCTTGCACCAACAGTTTGTGGGGCATTTATCAAAATCATGGACTGGGCATTTGAGCATTCAACAAACAAACAAACAAAAAAGCCCCACCAAAGTAAACAATACAGCTAATTTATAAGCATTCAGATGTGCAGTAACTGGCGCAAATATTCATATTGGTATGGTGGTGGCCCCATATAACACAATAAGACAGAACTCAGACCTGTGATGGTCTATTGAATACATAATATGCATTTTTAAATTTGCCTGGAAACGTATTCATACGGTAAAATCTAATGGTTCAGGCGGAGCTTTTACTCTTGATCAAATAATAAAAAATGTTAGAGACCACTCTGTCATCTCATTGCTCACCAGCCTCCACAAGAACTGTTTTACATTCCCATTTAAATAGGATAGGAGAGCAAGAAGGAAAACATAAACCACAGAAGAGTTACTACAGGCATAAACTTTTAAACCAGAAAGGCAAGAGAGCTGAGATAGAGAGTGGGGGAATTGTCTTCGTCACTCCGCACCTAGAGAGGTTGCCTATGGCTGAAGTCTCTGGCCAGCAGACCACGTTAGGACAAGGTTGAACTCACCAAGCCCTAGCGGCTGACTTGGGCAAGGTCATTCTGCCTCTGAAATACCTTCTTTCTGTGGATTTAGGTCTGCCAAGGAAGGGGACTAGCATGGAGAGACAGACAGAGTCTGTGGACAGATGAGACTCCCTGTGGGACAGAGTGGGTGGCAATGGCCTTGTCTGCGGAGAAGGAATCTGAAGTGCAGACTGCTAATAGTAATGGTGATTGCGATTAAAGCGTACAGCTTTTCATTACTGAAAACTTCAAATAACTCTCCTGAACTATATTTGAGACTTTTTTTTTTCATGTTAACTCCAGGTTTGATTGCTGGAAAAGGTTGACTGCTAGAAAAGGAAAACCAGTGCAGTGCACAGCAGTGGGGAATCGAAGCCGTTCTTTACCAGAACCCCTGCCATATACGTACTGTCACTCACCTTCCAGACACTCAGTACAACCATTCAATCTATTGAATCAAGAGACTGTTTGATCTTATCTGCATCTGTGAGCTGACTGTCAACCTGCTTAGGCTGCATATTAAATCATCTATAGTAGCTGTATCAAGCTGGGATGATCTGTTAATTCTAAATTTATTAACCCTTAGAGTGCAGTCATCATGTTTAATCTAGTGTAGCCGGCATTTATTTTACAAGACTAAATCTTTCTTTAAGATACTGCTGTGCTGTAGGTTAAAGAATCATTAATGTGGAGGAGATGGTAACCGGGAAGAGCTCACTTTGATCTCTGAAAGCCAGCTGGCAGCAGCACTGCTCCAAACATGTAACTGTGTGCTTGCGTCATGCTCCTGTGTCCAGTGTGCGGGGTGTGTACACATGTGTGCGCCTCATTGCGTTTCACACAGAAAGTTTTGCCCGAGACAAGATAGAAAAAGAGAGGCCTCAAACACCACCTCAGCTCCGTGCCTCCACGAGGACTTAAAACCAAAAATGCAAGTGACGGCACACCAGCGCAACGCCAGTCGAGGGTGACTGCAGGTGGTGTCCTGCCAGGACCCACCAACAAACTTCCCCTCCATGTCAGTTCCCACTTCTTGGTCGGAAGCTGCCGTCCAAATCAATTAGCAAAGGTCCTCAGAGTGCTGAGGACCACAGCCGCTGCAGGACGCGCAAGAAGTCAAGTGCCGTGATCTGCCTACGTACAAATATACCCCCACACAGACAGGAACACAAATAATTGTATATAGATATATACATACACATTGATAGTTAATCTGTTAGTTACGCACACACACATCTCTCCCTGCCCCTATCTCCTGTTATCTATTATCCTTGCACATTGCCGATGGTATCAACATATTCACAGCTTTTATTTCAGTTGCAAACTGCTAGGCATGCTTCCTTTTTTGGTAATCACGTGCTCAGTATCTCTCTAATGTAGCCTAATAACAATTTTAGCATTCAGATGAAGCGATTTCATTCTGTGACTGCCTTTTCTATTAGATTTGATTCTGAGAAGCCCCAGTGGGTGCCTCCGAGGCAGAGATCTATCTGTGAGGCTGCAACCGATTCAATAGCAGCCTGAGCTAACCTTGACCTTTCCCTAGACCCTGCTCCATCTGGTGCCAGCCTGGTCCCCCCCTTCTCCTCCTCCTTGCTTCACAGTCAGCATTGATCAAGGCGGAATCGAGCGTCTCTCTCCCTCCAAGGGCTGGGCAGTCGCGGAAAGGACAGCACATTTCAATATATGGAAATGATCGAGCCTCTTATGCAATCATAAATCTACATAGAGCCTCGTGATTTGATATTTCATTCACCTCCAAAGCTTCTCCCCCCCCTCCCTCCCCCCAGCAGGCATTTATAAACTATAAGACAACGGCTTTCCCCAACACCTGGAAATTATAAAGCTTGCTGTTTATTGGGAATGAATGCCTGGCGATTTAATCTGATTTACTTTGTGTTTGTGGTTTGGTTTGGGGGCTTCCCCCCCCCCCCCCCCCCTCTTTTTTTTTTTTTTAAACGCGGGGGCCGGGGCCGCCTCTCAATCGCTGGAAACGAGCGGAGGCTCCCGCAATAAATCAGCGCTCGCCACTTTGTCATCTTCCTAGTTCTGCTTCATTTTCTTCTCCTCTCCCCCGCGCTGGCGCTCGGCTCCCCGCTCCCCACTCTCCCCCAGCCCCTCCAAGTGGAAGCACCCCCCTTCCCTCCCCCGACCAAGCGCGACCGCCGGCGGCTTTGCCCGGCTGCCGCTGTCAGGATGATTATTTTTTAATTGGGGGGGTGTTTAGGGAGCCAGCCCCCGCCGGGCTGCGGGGCCGGAGCGCTCCAGGCTCCCCCCATTCCCTCCGGAGCAGGGAGCTGGAGCAGAAGCGATGCTGCCGAGGCATCCTCTTCGCTCCTAGGGTGCGAGGTACAATTTTTAGGAACAGCCAGCGTGGCTTTTCCCGTTGACAGATACCCCGGGATTTCATAGCCTTGCCTGCTCCTCCATTGCCAGGACGTGTACAAGCAATTATTTTCTTTTTCTTCCTAAGAATTCCGACATAACCAGATTTTTCTCATCGCAGACCAGCCTTGAGATTATATAACAGATTATGTAAAATTATAATTACAAGATAATATATGCAGACTCTAATTATTATATAGAGTTTCCTGCGTATCTATAGCCAGGCACACGGCACATATGGCAAGAGTCGGTTCTGCAATATTTGCATAGCCAACACTTCTGGCTGTAGATGCAGTGCAGAAAAGGCATGGATAGATATTTGACAGTACATATGTATAAGAGAGATATATTACTTAATGGGAAAAGGTATCTGGAAATATATTTCTATCTGTTTTGAGGAATTTGTTTTGCTTTATCTCCACGGGTAGTAAAAAATAATAGGAAGAAACTGTGAATTACAGTGAAAAAAATAGATATATTCAATTTGTCAGTTTAATATTACACTTCCTTCCTGCAATACTACAAAGATTTAGAACATTTCCAAAACTTTCAGCTTTAATCTGTGTCTCACGTTTGTTTGGAGGACCTGCCACCACATGCCAGCTAAAAATGAGTGTCAATTAATAATAAAAAAACACTCTTCCTTATTTCTGCACTCAAATAATTGAACAGGTTTTGATAAAACCACAAATGCAACAGTGAGAATTTTCCAATATGCGCAGTATTAACAGTTTTCATTCTAAAGCACCAAAACTTCCCAAAATAGAACTGCTGAATATTTCTTTGCTTTTCCTAATGGCCATCTACACATATGATTATACACTTCAAATATAAAGAATATTCAGCTCCTTAAAAAGCGTGGCTTGTTCTACCAGGAACGTAGCTGGTAGAAACACTCTCAAATCTAGGCGGTTAAGGGACGCACGCTGTATTATTTGTGGCCTCCAAAATTAGAACTAATTTGAAACAAGAAGTAGGAGAGTTTTTAGCTTGTGCTTTCCACCACGTGAGAAGTAACCGGAAAACAGTCACCCTTAAAATGCAACAGGATTCATAAATTCTTTGCTTTCTGAGCTACCTGAGCAATCATGTAACCTCTGCACAAGTGCCTAAGTGTGGTTTGTTGTTGAAAAGCATATTGTACTTATTAGTAAAATGTGAAATGGCTTAAAAAACAATTTGAGCTATAAATTGCCATCTGCTCAATGGGGGGAAACAGAAAGTAACTGAATATATTTTCTCACCTTATTTTATAGTAACATAAACAACACTGCAGAACACTATAAACTTCTAGCTGTACGAAAGGTGTTTGTACAGATCATCACGCTTCAGGTCAGGACTTTGTCCGCATTGTTAAGTGCTGTTTCTTTTAATTATCTGCAAATGTCTCAAAGTTTTCCCTCCATTAAACAAGATGTCCTTTTTAATTTCAGGGATTAAAAGTTTGATCCTGCTTCCCACACCATACTCTGGAAACTGTCCCTGATAGAGAGCTAGCCTGAGATCTGTGCATGCCTTCAGACATCAAAATACGGGTAAAGCATCGTATGTAACTTGTTCTGGTTCTCTGCGTGGGAGGGGAAGAGGGAAGAGTTTATGCTACCCAGCTTTTATGTAGCACTTTGCATCGCTAGTGTCCGTGGAAAGATAAATTCATCTTTGTCCTCTTCCTGCCCCCTTTTTGCAGAGAAAAACCGAGGAACCAAACAGAACTGCTTCCTCTGGTATCAAGCTTTGCCAATGCCAAAAGCACATTCCTTCAGTGCCTGCAAACTCGGTGACCTCCCTAAGTGCTGTGGAGGCCACGCTCTGAAATCAGCTCTGCTCACCCCAGGAGAAAGGCCCCACAGCAGGGCAGTGCCTGCCCTATCTACGCCGGGAGCAGGACTCCCTGCGAGCACTTAGGGAAACCACCCGTACTGGCAGCTGCTGCTCCCCAAGACTCATCTCACCACACAAAAACTGCAATGCAAAGAACAAAATAACATCTTTATCTTTTTTCCTACTCCACTAGAGTTGTTTCTTTGCTGTCCTTCAGCTTTATGCACCTTCTTTGCACCTGTGAACCCAGACTTTTTTTTTTAACCTGTTTATTCCATTTCTTGTCTAGCAGCAGCTCAGCTAACCTGCACCAAACACTCTGCTCCTACCAGCTACAGATCAGAAGGGAGAGCATTTCTGGAGTGCAGGGAGCCATTCAAACCAAATAGCCAGGTTCAGGCACGTGGAAGACAGGAACTGGAAGATCTTGACTTGGAGTGAGTTTCGTAAGGAGCACGAGGACAAGAGAGCTGTGAATTGTTACAGTTCCATCCCACAGGACAGACACGTGTTAGATAGTAATTCTGCAATGCAGAAATTGTCTTCATCTTCCTAATGCCTGATGCTTTCTCCTCCCGGAAAGACTGACTTCTCAAAAGCACTGCTTAACAATAATTAACAATACAAGGAGCGGCTTTTCTGCTCCCTTGGAAATTAGCAGGAGTATAAATACACAGTAAGGGGAGAATCTAAAACTTAACAATGGGAAAGGGAGATATGATGGCATTAAAGTGGCCCATACCCTTCACATTGTAATTGCCACCAATGCCCCTAGCATGGCTGGGTACAGCAAACTGCCTCGAGATTTACATGCAAAGCATGTGAGCTCATTGCAATAGCTGGATCATACCGCACGCCTAGGTGTTCTGCACCTCACATACAGATCACCCTGTAGTAATAAGATTCAAATCACCTGTCCTTCGTCGCTAATAAAAATGAAATACATTAGGGGAAGTTTGAATACAGTGGCTTGACAGAGCATGTCATGTCTCACACATGAAAAATGCTATGACTGCATGATCAAAAAGTAGCTGCCCATTTCCATGGCACAAGATTTTCTTGTTTCAAAGGACAAAATGTGCTCTTTGAGATGAGGTTAGCCTGAACCCTTAAACTCCTACAGCCCCTAAGAGTGCAGTGTGAGGCCAACCCAGAACACCCTGAGGAAAAAAATTTATGTTCTTATGAGACTCCCCAGTTCCGTTTTCCTTTTCAAGTGTGCAGAACACAAGAAGCTGCACTGTACTTCGAGTGGTCCTTCCCCAATTAAGAATTTGCCACAGCAGAACATCACACTATGGTGAATATTACCAATATTGTAATATTAAGGGTTTGTCGGTGTTTCCATTCTAAAATGAAGCCATTCTTAGCCTAAAGCCTAGACCCCTACTAAGCCTTTCTGGAAAACGGTACGTCAGGCAGGCAGATGAGCACATCTCCCCAGAGCTGACAAGGCTGGTGGCATTTTCATCCTGTCCTGAGCTTGCTTTTTCAGGAAAGCAAGAAGCCAGACAGACTTTGGGATGGAAAGCATGTAGGACAGTGCCTCTGTGTTACAAAGCACTCCACAACAGACATCTGATAATCTGTATGCCACTCTAAGTGAGATGCAAACAAAGCACTGGGACTGTCATTAAGGAACCACGCACAACAGGTTAGTTTGTTCTGCTTACAGTATTGGCACAAGGATGGACATTACTAGCTCCTCATCAGTGCTCAGTCTCTGTTGGAAAGTGTGCCCCTTCCCTAACTGAAGGGATAGAACTGATTCAAAAAGGTATATTAAAGCTCTAGGTGCTGGAATCAGAAACATTTGTAAAGCCTTTTTGGTGTGGATTCATGCAATAGACAAAAACTGCTCCAGAAATTGTCTCCTCTTCTAGGAAGGATGCTTTAAGACGTTGCCAAGAGCCCGATCACAAGTAGCCTCTGGGAGAAGCCCCAGGGACGTGAATCAAATATGTCTCCAAATCTGTCACCTCAACAGGCAGATCTAATATTCATTTCTCTGAAGAGGCACAGACTCTGGGGTGCCCTCTTCCTCCTGAGCTTGTCCTTCCTGAGATAAGGCTGGTAGCAGAGGGAGATAGAGGAGGAAAATTTAATGTGCCACTGCTTGTGCCATACCTGTTCTACAGATAGTGTGAGGACTTTGTTCCTTAGGACTGTCCATCTGGCACCATTCCTGAGCAATAAAAGCTCACCTGCAAAGTATTTTAAAGCAAACAGTTGGTGTAATGAATACCTTAATACTCCTGTAGCTAGACAACAATACCACAAATAATAATTGCTCTAAAAATACCTAGTCAGTTAAAAGAGCCCAAGTTCACATACCAGCTCCTTCAGCCAGTGGGAGACAGGACCCCACAAAGGCGGTGTGTTCCCTCACAGGGGGGTGACTCCTTGTCTCGTTTCCACGTGGCTGATCCAAGCACAGCAGCACACTTTTCAAAAGAGGTGGTGTTCCAGCAACCCTTGAACCTAGTGAAAAGGTGAGCTGGCCACCAGTGCAGTCTCTTAGAAAGTAAACGGAAGTGTGTATGTGGGTGTGTGTGCAGCCACACTTGTGCATATGAGCATCTGGGTCAGGCATCAAGCACTCCAAAAAAATAGAGTTCCACACTGTACCGCTTTCCTAAATATTTTTGTGATCTCTGCACATATTCTCTCCCTGCCTTCATCTAATTTCAGAAAGCTGGGCCACTGAAACAGCCTTACGAGCCAAATATTATCTCTGATTCATCAGCACACATCATGCACAAGAGCAATAGCTGATTTCGTAACATACCTGGGGGGAAAAAAAAAAGTCTTTATCATTTAAGATCAGAATTTGTTTACCAGAGGTGTTATTTAATCTGAGAAATACAGGTAGAAATCTGAAAATCTGACTTAAGATTACTTTGTTATGATCTGTATTATTGTTCTCACAGTTCTCTCTTTTAGGTGATTTTACAGTAGGCAGGCTTGAGAACAGAGGATGAGATACTCTGTGGACACAGAGTTGCATCCTTGATTAGGATTTTGTTGGTTCAAGAATGGATCACCCTTTTTTACTTTTAAAACTATCTGTTTACTGTATGAATGTAAAATAATTACTGAAACCAGGTGCATATTAGCATTGTACCTAAGGAAGACTTATAGTACCTCAGAGAGAAAGAGCACCGCATGGAGCCTTTTTTGTTTGTTTTGGGTTTTAGCATAGTACATTCAATTATTTCATGCCATTTTATATAATTTTACTTTTATACCCTCTACCTAAACTGAAAGAGGCATCAATTAATAACCTCCTTTTAGTCCAAATCATGCAGGTAAAAATTAGGTCTTTTACTCCTTTTAAAATTAAGTGTATCTTCCACTAAACTTGCAGGTCTTTTTTCATTAAAGCAAGTGCCATTTACCGTGTGTGGCTATTTCAGTGAGCTAAACATTTATTGAAAGCTCAAAGCATTCAATAGCCTCATTTTCTCTAGTTGCTGCATTCAGATTAATAAACCCTTTTCCTACTTAAAATGAAAAGAGAATTCAGAAATGTTTAGCATGAAGTGAAAAAAGCAGCAAGAAAATGACTAACAGATACCCCACATTGCATATTTATTTTGTCCTGTCAATTATTTTTAAAGAATTCCCTGCTTATGGAAGAAGATTTTTAAAAGACCTGGACTATCAAATAAAGATGTCCACAAACACTGGTTTCTTCATTTTTCCTCATTTTAGAGAAAGTGAATATTGCAAGGTTTGGGTTTTTTTTTCACCCTTTACTTTATTATATTTTTACCAGTGCTGAAAAAAAAATAAATGTTTCAAGGGTCATAGAGTAAACCTGCATAAAAAGTTTATGACACTACAGTGACGCATTTATAAAGCTGAATACTCATCGGCACTTGCAACATTAGGAAATCGCAAATATCAGATGTTCTTCACAACACTTCAAAGCAGCAGCCAAGTATAAAGTTCCATAGGTATCAGCTACTCCAGGGTCAGCGGTGGCTCCGAGTAAACACTTTCAGAGGCCCAGACCTGGAGGTAATTTCAATGTGTTTGTATCCAGTCATGAACACACAATCACCTATTGAAAGTGTCTGGCTTGGAGTGCAGACAGATGGAGAGCACAGAGGTTAGTACAGCCAGGCCTCAGACTGACCTTTGCAGAGAGAATTAAATCAGTCTGACCTTGTTGTGAAGCCTAAATTATATCCATAGACCCCCAAATAATGCATCTTTAATACATCTCTGCCCTCTTTTTATCAGCCTCCTTACCTCGAGGGTATCTTGTTTGCTAACTACTGATGGTAAATTGCAGCTATTTATGCTTTTGTTTGTGACCTTGCTGGACATCTTGTCACATTTTTCATGAACACTTAAAAAAACAGGGGAATATTTATATAGAGAGAATACATAAACTTAAGGTCTTACTTCACTTAGGCGTGAAATAAACATGAAGAAGAAAAGAAACCTGCTTCAACCAGAGGGCACTGTATTCATTGAATAAGCCTAACACAATAGTCATTGTATAATTCTGAGCTTCAGTATCATCCATAACCTATCATCTGGACAGCCTGGAAAACAGAACGGTGCCACGTAACAGGATTTCCAATATATAAGAAACACCTTTTCTTCTCAGATATTTTTAATATTTCAGGATTTTTTTAAATCCAAAACAGTACTAAGAACAGGGTAACCCCTGTGACACCTGTCAGTTTTGGTGATACAGACCTCTGGACAGAAACAATACTGAGCCTACAGGCTGGGATCTCAACTGGAAACTAGCTCCCTTCAGACTAGGAAGCGTTTAATTGGCACTTCTGTTGACTGTAACAGCAGAGGAGCCCAGTGGAAGTTCAGGAGAACTGCATCCCTTCCCATGGGCTAAAAATCTGTGTTTTGTGGTTTACTGTCGCACTTCAACCTGAACAAAAGCTGCTAGGAAAAAAAGACCTTAGTCCAGGATGTCGCTTTCCAAGTACCTCTATTCTAAGGTGCATGAGGTTCCTTTTTGTGTTCTGTTAATCAAAATAAATTTTTCATTTAAACTACAGAAAAGAATGAGGTTCTGTTTCACTGCAGTTAGTTTGGGATTTTGGCTCTAGCACCATCTGTCTTGGTAATCTTGGGCAAGTCACTGGGGCTCGTGACATGGAATCCTCTGGGAATCTCCATATGGAAAGCTGTGACTCCACAGGCTGGCCAAGTCCACCATCTACAGGGGTGGCACCACACCACTTCTGGGAACACTTTTCCCAGCACTGGTGAGTTATTAGGGTGGCTCACCCATCGTGTGGAATCACACCTGTCCACACAAGAGATGCTTCCAGCTCAGGCTTGGCACCGCCACCTTGCTGACCTCATTCAGCTCTTAAAGCCAAGAAAAAAAAAAAAATTGCTACCTTTTGCCAAGATGGTTTTCTGCTGGTTTCAGCAGCAGCAAACTGTATCGAGCAAGCAAAGGGAGAGGTGAGCACCAGAAGCAGCAAACAAGAGCACACAGCTGCAGGGCGGAGAAGAGAGCAAACCAGTGCAGTACTGATTTAAATCAGCTACAGAACCACACCATTAGATTCAACTGCTGATGAAGGTTAAGTTTGGTCTAATACTTGGCACTAAAGCAGCTTGAAATGCTGGAACATGATGCTTTCTCCCAGCTTAGCTCTGCAAGAGGAGCGGGCAGATCAGTAATTCCTTAAACTGAGAAAAGCCCAAGCTCAAACCATCAGAACTCTGCTATTTGATCACTAAAAAGATGCCCTTCAGGGTGGGCTACAATGATAACACTCCTCAGATTTACTGTTAAGAGCAGCATTTATACACTGAAACAAAAATTAATCTTTTACCTCTTCCCTGCCAGATTAAATAGTTAATTTTAAAAATAGATGCCGCGTGGTGAGCTCCATCCCAAACTGCCCACTATTAACTCTTCAAGAATCTCACTCCTTACTCCAGAAATGAGCCCTGGGATCAAGTCAGCCGCTCGGCATCCTGCAGATCCTTTACTGCCAATACAGGCAGTGAGTGTTCCTAATAGTTTTGCCTGTGCTGAGGGAAACCTCTCCTCAGAAAATAAGAACTGTTGGTCAAAAGCACCAGCCCTGGATGTAGGAAGAGTCACAACTGCATACAATGGAAGCAATATGTTGCTATTTTAACAGGGCGTCTTGAGCCTAGGGGTTCTACTGAGAACTGTGTAGGGATAATCTACCTGAAAGGCAGAGATCAGTGCAGCACATGGAGCTGTGCTGTTTGCACGTTATGACTGCAAACGTGCTAGAAATCCCCATAAACAGAAATTTCACACATGCCAAAAGCACTCTGCATAGTGTGAGTACCAAGCTCCACCATATTTCCTGCAGAATCTTCTTGATATTCTAAGGATCTTCCAGATAAATACAGTTTCCTGTATTTCAAGGGACAGGACAAGCAGCTGACTACAACAGCAACCAGTGAGGGTCTGTCAAGTCCCCTGGAGCCAGGGTTACTGCTCCTGTTGCTGCCACAGAATGAGTGTTTGGGGTGGCTGCTGCAGCTCAGGTTGGAAGAGCAGCTCCCTTCTGACAGCAGCAGCTATTCCCCACTGTCCAACCTCTAACAGCTCCAAGCTCACCAAGCCTGGTTCCAAGATCTCATGGCTGAGGCAGCAAAATTCAGTCTTCCCAGCCCTGCTGCTAAGTCTTGCTCCAGCTCTGATCCCGCTACTCTTAGTTCTTCCTCTTCTTATATGTGGTTCCCATGTGTTTCTCTATACAGTGCGTGAAACAAGGAACAGAGCACTCAGGAGTGAGCACATACATACCTGTGTTTGCCCAGCCACGGAAGAGACAGTCACAGGATGGAAAGGATATTGGGGAGAAACAGGACAGGGTAAAAAAGGTCTGTCTTCAAAATCATTTAGTCCTCCGGGGCTGCAAGCTCCAAAAAAACTCATCTGATCTAACCAATCACATAGGAAATAATGAGTACAAACTACTACCTACTTCCTTTGGCTATACAAAGCAAAAAAGCAGTGATAATCACACTATTTGATTCCATGATCTGATTTCTGTGTTACCATATTTCCCGAAGACTATAGCTCTGCGTACCACAACATGCCTGTCAAGATGTGGATTTACAGGTTACACTGTAGTAGAACCTGCTGGTTTTCAGCTCCAATCGACATTTGCTTGTCAGTACATGCCTGACAGAGTTGCAGTCCAGATTAGGAAACATTTGTTTATGCCCCAAAATCCCCAACATATTTTTCCAGCTCCGTTCCCAGTGCTGAGCTCCACGCCACTCCAGCTCTCTGGTAGTCAGCTCTCACACTGCTTCCTGGCATAAAATTGATTAGAAGCAGCATGAAATGTCATCAGGCTGACCCTCGGGAGGCTGGGCCCAAAAATAACAGACAGGAAAAATGGCCTTTTGATTAAACTTTCAATTGCCAAAAACTGTACATTTCCCCTCACCGTACATGTGCACACACGTTTTAAGTCAAGATAAGTTTACACGAGCTATGGACACAACAGTGAATTTAGTGTGGACCTATTCTTAACAACATTAGTGTTGCTGAAGTCAGCAGGACTCTTGCCACCAGCTTCAGCGGTGGCAGGAAAGGGGTGCTTTGTTCCACTTTTTATTTCACATCTCTTTCTTCTTGGTGTCCCTCAGCTGATACCAGAGAAAGGATGCGAAAGTAACACAGAGCAGGCCCAGGCTGGCTGTTTGTGACATAAGAGCTAGTGGTGGCAGCTTCTTGGGAAAGCAATGCAGATTTTCAGGCATTCTATGAAGCCCATGACAATGTGTTTTCTTGGTGATGTTGGGTAAGTGCGGTTTATATCTTTCTAAAGAGTCATGACTGTCAAAAAATAACCAAAACCCTCTTTTGGTAGGGTCCTGAGAGACCCAGGTCCTGCTCCAAGGAGACAAGCAAGCCACAAAGGTTTTCGGTGGGAAGAAAAATGACAAAGAAAGAAACACATCCTCATGCACACCTATACTGATATGAAGGTCTGATAACACAAATCTGATTTACGTATTCATATATTTATATGTCTGACTGTTCCCATTTCAAAGAACCTTATTACCTAAATTGCTGCAGAATAGCCAGATGCAAAGGAATGAGGGAAGAACGGAATAGACTTTGGAACCTGAATTTCCAGGCCCCAGTAGATTTGCCACAGTCTTGTTTGCATAAGTTTTTTACTCTATCCTAGAAGTGCCAGCCTCCATCGAGCCACTAGTACATATAGCATCTATGCTAGAGATTGGTACCAAAGCCTCTTGACTAGGGGCTGAAACACAAACGTTTATGTCTTCAGGTCCAACATCTACAGCTCATCCCTCATGCAGGTAAAATCGGTGATATTTAGTGACAGGCCATGAGCTGCTGCCATTTTGAGAACTCTATCCTGGCTGAAACCACGACAAGCATACATCAGAATTTATCCCTGCTTTCCTGGACAGTTCAGTGCTGTCCGAGCCCATCCTCTGCCTCTGTGGCAGTGTCTTAGCCACAGCAGGGTCCTATGGTTACTTTTTTGCACATCAGCAGAGCTGCAATCAGTCTAAAACCAAGATGGTTTTAGGCCTACAGATGAATGACAACAGCCCAGTGTTATAATAAATAATGACTACTATTATTCTGAAAACTGGGCTTGAAATGAGCCAGCAAGAGCTAATATGATATATGCTGATACCTATTCATTCTACCTCTTCTCACACACACTTCTTTCTCTTTCTCTCTTTTCAGAGGATATGGGAACCTTTTCGTCTCAACCTCAGCTGTAGTTCCTCAAAATTTGAAAAGAGCAGGTCCATCAGTCTACTATCACCTTTTTTTCCTAATCTTTTCCCCTTTCCTTCTCCACTATCTTCAACCACCGAGTTTACAATGCATATAATAAATTGGAAAAAAAAAAAAAAAACTTTCCAAAAGACTTCTCTAGTAATTCTCAAGGATTACCAAATCCATTATTGAGAGGGTATTTGGGAAGCGATGGAAAGAAAGAAGAAAAGTCACATGTGCATGGTAAGGCACATTTTTTTGAGCAGGGAGTCAGGATTCAGTCAGTGCAGTACAGCGCACCTATGTGGAGCCTGCACACCCCCAGCAATTTAAGCTAATATTTTGGTCAGTAGGTGGAGACCCCAAATACTCAGTGGTTTAAGACCAGATTTGTGAGAGGCATAAATTGGAATCGCATTCTAGGGCTGTTGTTTAACATTCTATGTATGTTAGATAGAAAACGAAAGAATAAGAATTATCTTAAAATCCCTGCTAAATCATGCCCTGCTTTCTCAAGGCAACCTCAAGCTTTAGTAGTTCAGACAGATTCTCTAGCTGACAATTAATATTAATGGGTAGATTTCACAATGTGGCATTATCACACTGTGAGATGGGTGGGCATACCATCTGGGTTTTGGCAGGTATTAGATGTAATCAAAGGGATTACTTGGCTCAGGGAGAAACAGAAAACCTTGGGTTTGTTTAGGCTTTTTCTTCTTTTGTTTGGATGCAGCTCTAGGTGTACTTAACTGTTTCCCCCTTGTCCTTTGTTTCTTGTGATGAGCGTTTCAGAGTTTACACGGGAAATGAGAGCCAGATACTCAACACATCCTATTAGTCAGAGTCCGGACCGATTTGCCCGAGAGTATCTCTCTTTCTCATGCATTGTTGTTTTGGGATCGATTGTCAGCTCGTTTAGGGGTCTGCGGCATTTTAGAAGGTTAAACTGAGAATTTAAACAGTGAAGGAATTAAAGGCAGAATATACTTAGATAATCAACCAATCGGACCTTTTTCAAGATACAAGCTGAAGAAATCAGATGTGGAACAGGTACGGACGCTAAGAAATAGACTTTGTCTTCTTCGCCCTACAAAGCAAGTACTAAGTGCCAACTTTCGGGGTGAGGGGGAGGAAATTCCCCTCCCTCTTTTTTCTTCCTCCCACTCCAGCCACAACAAGCCCCCGAGCATCAGCACCACTAAAGGGAGGAGGTTAAGTTTTAAACTTTGGGAAATCTATTGATTTGGCAGCCTTTCTCCTCTCCTGTCTGTGCCCCAGCTGATTGTAACTAAGTAATCCTCATCAATCTGTGGTAATGCAGGACCATGTTTATTGCTGTAGTAGTTAAGTTGTTGTTAATTTTACACTAAACGGTTGTTATGATGATGAATGAGTAGCTCGGGCTGCCACCCAGGGGACTTCAGCCCGTACAACCAACAAAAGGGAGATCGCAAAGGAAAAACCAGGGAAGAGCCAGAGCGCCCACTCGGTAACTTTTGAAGGAGCTAAAAAAAAAAAAAAAAAAAAAAAGAAAAAGGAAGAAGCTGATCTTCTGGTTTGTATTTGAATTTGGATGCTGTGGGGTAAAAGGTGCTGCCTAAGTGTAATTGCCATGCTTTTACATACCGGCTGGGATCAAAGAGGGGAATGAAAGTACAAGTGATTTCCCGGCCCACTCCGGCCTGGCAAAGCAACCGCTGGGATCCTGCCCGAAAGCATCACGCTCATTTGCTCTTGAAAAAATTCCGTCCCTCTCGGGGTTTTCCTCCGGCGCGAAGGTTCAATAACGTACCCGGCGAGCTGCAAAGGCTGGCCGTGAGTCACCGGGCAGCCTCCGCCACCGCCGCTCCCCGCCCTCCTCCCCGGCCCTTCCCGCCGGGGCCCAGCCCGGGGCGGTGCCGCCGGACCCGCCGCCTTTTGTCCCGGCGGAGCCGCCGCGTCCGCGGGACGGCGGCGCCCCCGTGCGGCCGGAGCGCGGCACCGCCGGCCCCGGACCCGCGGGAAGGCGGGAGGGACAAGGTAAAGTCCTCTGGAGCTCAGCGAGGAACGCACCTCCACCGCCTTTAACAGAACTTCAGCTTCAAGCTGTTTCATCCCCCTCCAGTGCACCCGCTCCTTTCCCAGAGGAACTCTGCACAATTGGGGTGTATCTCGTGGTGGGCTCACAGGGAGCTCTGGACCATTTCACACCCTGGGTTCGGATGATGGTAGATCAAACAGGTGTCTCAGGCCCACAGCCACAACCTTGCTGCGGTTCAAAGCTCAGCGCTACAGGGAAGAGGCGCCCAAAGCCAGCCCTCCATCCCCAACGCAGCACATGTGGACACATCTCATCGAGAAAGATCATCCCAGGGGCCCATATAGAATCCATGCAATGCACTTCCTAGGCCATGGGCATTTGTCCTGGCAGTCCTCATATTTCAGCCTGTGCGAGACACCGCGTTTGTTGTGCAAGACTATTAAAAGTTATCAGTGTACCCTCCCCACGCCAGGTTATTAGATTACTAGACTGAGAAATAAAACTTAACCTGCTGCAATCCCAATTATTTCCTTGCACCTCTTAAGTCTGATTATGGCCATGAATATACAATTTTCCCCAGCCGTTATCGGTCATCCTGGTCAGGTGGCATTGCATTTCTATTCTGTGCCAGCGCTCAGATTGAGTGAGAACAACAAAACGTGGCAATTCAAGCTGAGAGGTGCTGGGGGGGGAAATAATGAGAGAATCCAGGAGCTACAGAGGTCCCCTATGAGGGCTCAAGGACCAGCTCTCAGCTGGAGAAAGTAGAGGCCAAAGTCAGAACTTGAACACTATAAGTTCATCAGGCTTCTTTCCCCCCATGCCTTCTCCTTTCATTTCTTCCCCAGCTGCCTCCCTCAGTAGTTCACTGAAGGTTTGCAGGAGGAGAGGCTCCATCAGGCCACAGAGAAGGTACAAAAGACTACAGCCACGTTTCTAGGTCACAGCCAAGTGTGTTAGTGGGACAGCAGAGGAACCACATTAAAGAGGGAAGGAATATATTTTATTCTCCAAGACAAGAAAATAGTCCTAATCTGTGTTTTCACTTCCAAGCAACAGCCAAACATAGGGACGTTTTCAAGGGTGTAATCAGAAGGCACCAATCAATAGGTCCCATTATCTTCCATCCCCACACCCTAGAGATGGAAAATACACCAAACAGACCTCCTGAGCCCAACAAAAGCCATAACTGTAAAGCTCAGGTTCAAGAGAGACTTCAGCTATCTTAGAAGATTATTCTAATGAGTTACATTGCACAAAAGCAATGTAGGATAAGAAACCATCAGTATCTCTACTAGAAAAGCACCGTGCCCATTTTGCCTAAATGACAGTGCTTTTTTGCCCCCATGACAACCCCTCCATCACTTAGATTAAGCATTTACAGGAGTCCCTCAGATCTGACAGGTATCCCATACCAGTTTCCAGCTGCTGGGGTTACAGCTAATAGAACTAGTGCTGGGTGAGCTGTTCCTCAGTGTTCAGGCCCCAACAGCAGCTCAGGCCCATGAGAGTCAGAGAGGGCCAGAAGACAAGATGACTTCTGCTTGCTCTGACCTTGGCCCGACTCCAGACAACACTAGGCTTGTTCAGTAAAGCCTCACAGGCTTTTCTGAGAGACCAGAGCTGGACAACTCAGAGTGATAATGGTTCAGATTACACTTCAACATGCCCTAAAGCCTGAATTAATCTGGATGAAAGCCAGATGTGCCAAGTCTCATAACACAGGAGTCCCCAAGAACTATTCTCAAGATGTTAAGGATGTCCCTCTTTGTTTCCCTATCACACAGATAAAGCAACGTGTGAAGTACATTGGCACATTAAACAATAGTACCATTAACTAGGTAATTGTAAGAATTGCCACCTTTCCTAGTTTTCCACGGTGATCAGCATCTCTAGAATCTCAGCCTTGTAAGACAATTGTCTATTTCCAACCACTTTGCAACTCCAGCTCCAAAGGGGCTATTTACATGACTAAAGGGGCTTTACATGAGAGGACAAGGGCTGGGAGGCTCTGTAAACCATAAATATGGCTATTGTATACTTTCCATACCTATAGTGAACGCTGGATTTGCCACATAATTCAAAGCACCTCAATGGTAGCCCTCTTCAGATGCTGCCAGCCAGCCCTGCACCGAGATGTAATCATGATAGACAGGTTTCTCTCATGAAAGCCAACGCACAAAATAGTTCTAGATGGCTCAAAGCTCAGCAGCCCATCACTAATCCTTCACATAGCTGGCTAGTACCCATGCTGAGTACACGAAATCCATCCATCTGGGATTCAGAGATGCCTGTTACAGATGAAAATCAACATCACAAACACCAGATGAGTAAAGCACTCCATTAGCTTGCTCCATCTCCCTAACTTCACCACGGTCCAGGCATCACTCCTACACATTGTGCAGCTACAGCATTTGAACTCTTGAAAATCTTTGCAAGTCACAAACTTTGAAACCCATGCATTATTTGTGAAGATGGCCTGTTTCTAGTGCTGCCTATCAATCCAAAGCCATGCCTGCCTTAAATACGTACCCCATATACAGTTCTAAAACTTTAAGGGCATATAGAAGATGACCAAATGTACTTTTGAAAAAAGCAAACAAAACCCACAACCCAAAACCCACCATAACTCTGGATCACAAACAGTAGATTATCTTGTGTCCTCTCAGAATTTACATAAAGCAATAGAATATGCCATTCTTTAGGAGAACAGGAAGAAATACTGGGCTAATGCTGTTGCAGACACCTAATTCTTCCTGGATCTCCCTTGTTGCACTCAGCAAATACTTCGCAATTGGCAACAGCTCGCTCTCGGGCACTGCCATACGGTCACCTGCCTGGCTCCACCTGCCAGCTTCATCTCAGAGCAGGAGAGGACATGTGATAAACAGCCTTTGAACTCTTGATCCCCAGTTAGAAATAAGGCCCCATCACATCAGGTGCCAAACAAAAAGACAACTTCTGCCACAAATTGCTTGCGATCCAATGTGTTCCTAAGGCAGTGGCCAATATTTACTTCCTGTTAGGATTAGCTGCAATCGGACTACTGAAAAATAGACAAGCACATCAGCACTCCTTATAATT